TCAAAGTTTATATAGTTAATGCTATATTTTAAACCAATGAAAGAACTATTTACTCACAATTTGCAGACAGTTGTCTACTTTTTACTATTTTTTTACATTTACTGAATTAATAATTTCATTGAAGAAATGGTAAATGTAATATGGAGAGTGTTTTTGTATCAGATGTATAAGCTTGACTTTGATGTTTTGATTGAATTAGTTTTTATGCTGCATGTTTGATTTCCTATTTGTATGATACCACAAATGCAACCAGAAATAGGTTCATTCAAATGAAGTGGTTACAGTACAACCTCAATATCATAGTTCTATATTAGACATACATATTGATTTTACTGTAAATTTGTTATTAAAGCCTTCATACAATTATGTTAGATGTCTGACCATCCTATACACTTGTCAAATATATATCTCGTGTGTTGTCATTTGTTAGATGACCACAATCAAATTACATGCCTATTGTCCTTCCTTTGTCACCTGTCCACTTTCATCTGTTTATTTGACCACTGTTGCTACAATATTTTTTGTTCAAGGATTACATGTATTATCAGTTATTAAGAATGATTCCAGAAGGAAATTTTTTAATATTACCCAAGGTTTTAATCTACCCCAAAAAACGACTGACATTGACAAAGGCTGATTTTGTATTAGAATTGTATTAGTTTTTCCTTTATGTGTAGCATGAACAGCCTGATCAGTCTTGACCCACCTTTATTTATTTTTTTCAATTCTGTACAAATTTAGCTTTTATATATACATTTTATACAAGGTGTAAATATGTGACCTCCTTTACTGTAATCTAATCTACAGTGGCCTTCCATGTTTATAGATTGACAACAAAATTATAGACAGCAGTTTTAGAATTATTTCTAGTCAATTTAATGCTCTGCCATCCATTAATGTGATAATGAAGATAATCATAGCAGATAAATTGTCCATTTGCTAAGGACAATAAAGTTGGTAAAGCTCATTTTGTTTTTATGGTTGTGCTTATTGTGAACAGACACTGAATTCATTGGATTTCAAGCATGTCAATATACCAATAGATGTATAAAATGCATTTTCTCTTCAGTTGAATTTTTGAAGTAATTTACTGGGTTTCATACAGACAAATAAGATGTGTCGAATGACAACTTTATACATGTACAATGTATTTCTAGATGTATGTGGCCTTTTGTTAATCTATTCATGTTACTAGGTGAAAAGCACTTTTCTGTCCATTATAATAATATAAAACTACTTTTATTGCCAATGTTTATTAAAAATTGAATTCTCTCCTGGTATATAATTGAAGTAAACATTAGGTTTCATTCAATAGGAACATATTGACTTGTACATAGATATATAAGTATGTCTCTCAAGGCTGTGACATAAGATTAGCTCTTTCAAGTGAAATAATGAAGTTATGTCTGTCTGAGGATGAAGTCTTCTCTTTAAAAGCTTTCCCTGATAATACATTTATGTACATATAAGGAGTAAGTCTGTACTAAGGAATGGCTATGTTGATTATTTTGTTTTAGTTTGTTACTTGGCTTGATGGAATGAGTAAGAAGTTTGATATTGTTAAAATCTACTAAAAATTGTAAAGGAAAACAAGATAAACTGTAAAACATCTAAAACAAGAATGTGTCCATAGTACACAGATGCCCCACTCGCACTATCATTTTCTATGTTCAGTGGACCGTGAAATTGGGGTCAAAACTCTGGCATTAAAATTATAAAGGTAATATCATAGAGAACATGTGTACTAAGTTTCAAGTTGATTGGACTTCAACTTCATCAAAAACTACCTTGACCAAAAACTTTAACCTGAAGCAGGACAGACGGACAAACGGACGCACAGACCGAAAAAGGTAATGCCCTAGGTGGGGCATAAAAATGGACTTGAATGGTTCTGTAGAAATCAATTTTTTAGTTTCAGTAAAAATAGTAAACTGGCTGGTAAATCTGTTCGTCCAGTGAGTCTGATCTTTTGACTCATGGAATGTCAGCAAAACATATGGACTTACTGAAGGAACAAAATGATAGGACTAACCAACTTGGCTGTAATAAATTACTTGAGAAAGTGGATTTGTGTCCAGCAGCAAATATTTCACATATAAAATAGCAATACGTAATTAATGGGCATATGAAAAATGAATGAAGAAGAAGGGGAGTATACACCAATGATACAGCATAAAATCATTTATTCCAGGAAAAAGAAAACTGCTACATCGCACAGCATAAGGACCTGAAAATAAGAGATTGCTTGGAAACAAATGGTTTCTTTAAAAACTTTCATTTATTCTAAGAAAAATATTGAATTGTTGTTTTTATTGGGTGGAGTTACATTCTGCAAGTGCCAGCTGACATTGTTTGAAGTGGAACATTAATTTCTATGAATTAACTGTTGGTGTAACAGACTTATAAGTGATTACACAGACAACCTGTTGCATTTTATTACTTCTTAATGTTTGTGTTATGATTTACAAAGAAGAAACGTAAAGCAACATTATCTGTATATCTTTTTGTGTTGATCTTGTCAGTTTTACTTTCTTAACCTCTTTTAAAGAAACATCTATGGCTAAAATAGATCATAAGTAATACTGAAGATCCCATGAGATAGATTTTTGCTAGCATTTTTGTTGCCTAAACTCTGCTTTGATTCAGTTTGATGAGTTCTGTTTGAATACCTTTATGTTCTGATACTAAATTCTGTGATAATCAAACAAATTACTAATGTGCCAAAAATGGCTCCTCACAACTCTTATAACAAGCACCCTTTTTTTTTTTTGCATTTTGGACTTTTCAAGATTCTCACATATAAATTGCAACTGTTTACATTTTCAAATTTTTTTGAAGGTTTACCAAAACTGTGTTGTTACAGGTATCACTGAGTCAAGTCAGGAGCCTGTTATTCAGTTGTTGTCATTGGTTGCTCTCTATTATATTTGTTTTCTGGTTTATTATACTGTTCATGAATCAGGCCGTTAGTTTTCTCATTTGAATTGTTTATATTTGGTCATGTCTTGACCTTTTATAGTTTACTATACTGTATGGGTTTTGCTTATTGTTGAAGGCTTTACAGTGACCTATAATTGCTAGAATCTATATATATATGTCTTTTGGTCACTGGTGGAATTTTGTCTTTTGATCATTGGCAATCATACCACATTATTTTATATTTGTATTGTGAACAGTTATTTAAGCTGAAAAGATTTCCTCTATAACTTGCTTTAAATAAGAAAAAAAAAGAAAAGAAAAGAAAGATTGACAAGAAAGCTTTAGACTATGTTGTCCCTAACTGAATATCTCTCACAGATAAGACACTATTACATCATGTACATGTAGATTCAATATTGGACAGGAAAGACATAGTAGATATCAAATAGATTCGATACCAGGCAGGAGAGGGACATAAACGTTCAACTTGGGTAGTTTTAATATAATAATAAGTACTCTTTGGTCGGGTTGTTGTCTCTTTGACACAATTCCCCATTTCCATTCTCAATTTTAAACTCAGTGCAATATAGTTTGAAGAACAACTTCTCCATTGTTTTGAGTAAAGAGAAAACATTTATAAATAGATGTATCATTCTGATTGTTTTCCCAGCTTTAAATGTTTTTGATTGAAAAAAGAAATGTGTTTGTGACTATCATACTAACAACATGAAGTCATTGGCTTTACATTAGGTATAAATAACTGAGATGAACAAACTGTTGGAAAAGTATCAAATTTTTGAAATGTAGCTTGTAATTTGTTTCACATCCAGCCATGCTGAGGATGAATAATATACAATAAATATGTAGATTATATTGGGGGAAAAGTGAAAGATTTAGTACACTTATATTCATAGGATTGTTGAAATTGGTCAATTTTGTATTTTTATCTCAAAAAAAATATAAGGAATAAAGTTTATTAAAAGATGGACAGGAAAGAGGACTTTGTGCAATTAAGCTCCAACATAACTATTTGAGAAAACTAATTATTGCATCTCTAAGTTTACTGATTCAGTAAATGGATGTTGGTATTATAGAAGGATGGATTATCATTATGATCTAGTTAATCACTACCACTGCACAATGTCCATTCATTAACATTTCATCACAGTTGAGAAAAGTGGAAGTAGGAGGGTGTGGAAGCACAGATGTTTATCGCTAAACTGAAAGTAAACCAGCCATGTGCTTGCTTTCATCTGATTAAATTAGCAGTAATAATTGGAATTAGCAGGTAGAAATAATTCCAACAATAACCTGTATGTATACCATTGTCTAGTGCGAGGTTAATCAAGTTCACAGTACATGTTGGTATTTATTACAGGTGTGGTCTGTTGCCTCTTATTTCAGTTTTCAGAATTGTTTTTAGTCTTTTATCATGGTTATGATGTTTTGTGTGAGAAGAAAGGGATTCATTTAATATCTAAGACTTGCCTTATTTTTCCTTATAAGCCAAGAGGTAACTTTGGAATTGTTCATATGTGTATAATTACTACTTATGGGTTTCACAGAAAATTTGGCCACACCGCTTATTCTAATCTTTAGACAATCTTAACATTGGTGATATTTGTTGCATGGATAGGCACCACTGATTGAGGAATAAAAAGTAAAATGTTTGTTCTAAATTCCAGACAGAATTAATTACAGATTACAAGGCTTATATTAGTATAAATTATGTGCAGGATAATATATTGTTTAAGATTTGACAGGACAGTCATAGGGTGTGGGTGGATGTTATGTAACTATTATGCTGTAATGAGTAATGATATCAGGGCATGACCAACATACTCATTAATGTAGAATTTTAATAGTGCAAGATCAAAATCAAAGCCGAAATTATAATGTTTGGGGGTTCTAAGCCCCGTCAGCAATATTTCTGAATACAGTTTATGATGGTCACAATTCATTTAAATCTTCTGTTCAATTCTTAGTGCAATAAATACACTAGTTTTTGGATTACATGTTCTTTTTCTCAGTATGATATTTTACATGAATTCTGTGTACAAAAGTGTGTTGTTTATTTTCAGATGGTTACTATCCACAGATGAACAACGATTTACAATGTAATCAGCCTCGGAGTCCAGGATTTTATAACCACAGAACTCTGGATGTTCCAAAAACTATCATGGACGTAGATTATGATCTGCTGCAGTCTGGGATAGCTATTCTACCAGGTAATGCTATATATATAGTCATTTTAAACATTGTTGTTACTTTTATAAGTTGACTTGCTCTTATGTGGCCTTACTTTCAGTTGTCTTGGTCTATTATTTCCTTACTTTCAATTGTCTTGCAATATTATAGCTTTACTTTCAGTTGTTTTGCCCTTTGATGCCTTACTTTCAGTTGTATATATTGCTCTTATGTGGCTTAATTCCTAGTTGTCTTGCTTTTATGTGGCCTTGCTTTCTATTGTATTGATCTCATGTGGCCTTACTTTAAGTTGTTTTGTTCTTATGTGGCCTTGCTTTCAGTTTTCTTGCTCTTATGTGGCCTTACTTTCAGTTGTCTTGCTCTTATGTGGCCTTGCTTTCAGTTGTCTTGCTCATGTATCTTTGCTTTCAGTTGTCTTGCTCATGTATCTTTGCTTTCAGTTGTCTTGCTCATGTATCTTTGCTTTCAGTTGTCTTGCTCTTATGTGGCCTTGCTTTCAGTTGTCTTGCTCATGTATCTTTGCTTTCAGTTGTCTTGCTCATGTATCTTTGCTTTCAGTTGTCTTGCTCTTATGTGGCCTTGCTTTCAGATGTCTTGCTCATCTGTCTTTGCTTTCAGTTGTCTTGCTCTTATGTGGCCTTACATTCAGTTGTCTCGCTCTTATGTGGCCTTGCTTTCAGTTGTCTTGCTCTTATGTGGCCTTACTTTCAGTTGTCTTGCTCTTATGTGGCCTTACTTTCAGTTGTCTCGCTCTTATGTGGCCTTACTTTCAGTTGTCTTGCTCTTATGTGGCCTTACTTTCAGTTGTCTTGCTCTTATGTGGCCTTGCTTTCAGTTGTCTTGCTCATCTGTCTTTGCTTTCAGTTGTCTTGCTCTTATGTTGCCTTACTTTCAGTTGTTTTTCTCTTATGTGGCCTTGCTTTCAGTTGTCTTGCTCATCTGTCTTTGCTTTCAGTTGTCTTGCTCTTATGTGGCCTTGCTTTCAGTTGTCTTGCTCTTATGTGGCCTTGCTTTCAGTTGTCTTGCTCATCTGTCTTTGCTTTCAGTTGTCTTGCTCTTATGTTGCCTTACTTTCAGTTGTTTTTCTCTTATGTGGCCTTGCTTTCAGTTGTCTTGCTCATGTGTCTTTGCTTTCAGTTGTCTTGCTCTTATGTGGCCTTACATTCAGTTGTCTCGCTCTTATGTGGCCTTACTTTCAGTTGTCTTGCTCATGTGTCTTTGCTTTCAGTTGTCTTGCTCTTATGTGGCCTTGCTTTCAGTTGTCTTGCTCTTATGTGGCCTTGCTTTCAGTTGTCTTGCTCTTATGTGGCCTTGCTTTCAGTTGTCTTGCTCTTATGTGGCCTTACATTCAGTTGTCTCGCTCTTATGTGGCCTTACTTTCAGTTGTCTTGCTCTTATGTGGCCTTGCTTTCAGTTGTCTTGCTCTTATGTGGCCTTACATTCAGTTGTCTCGCTCTTATGTGGCCTTACTTTCAGTTGTCTTTCTCTTATGTGGCCTTGCTTTCAGTTGTCTTTCTCTTATGTGGCCTTGCTTTCAGTTGTCTTGCTCTTATGTGGCCTTGCTTTCAGTTGTCTTGCTCTTATGTGGCCTTGCTTTCAGTTGTCTTGCTCTTATGTGGCCTTGCTTTCAGTTGTCTTGCTCTTATGTGGCCTTACATTCAGTTGTCTCGCTCTTATGTGGCCTTACTTTCAGTTGTCTTGCTCATGTGTCTTTGCTTTCAGTTGTCTTGCTCTTATGTGGCCTTGCTTTCAGTTGTCTTGCTCTTATGTGGCCTTACATTCAGTTGTCTTGCTCTTATGTGGCCTTACGTTCAGTTGTTGCAAGCTCTTATGTGACCTTACTTTCAGGTGTCTTGCTTACACATGTGATGAACTGTGAAACTCAGATCAAGAGATTGTGAAATTTTGGTCAGGAGTTTAGACCTCAGATTAGGAGGTTTTTTTATCGACATTAATTTAAATTAGTCGTGAATGTAGCCGTCTGATTTAGAATTGTCTTTTAGTGTGTTTTTTCTTCAATTTACCATCTGAATGTAATATATCAATGTGTTACAGTACCCTTGTACCTTGTCTATTTGAATGATATCATTTGAAAGAAATATTGAGAAGATTCTGTTCTGGTTTTGCATTTGATTGTTTGACACTTATGTGGTCTTACTTTCAGTTGTCTTGCTCTTATGTGGTTTCAAGAAGTGGTGAAAAGATAAAAAAAAACAAAACATAAAGTGCAGAAGTATAACTCTGATTCTATATTGAGATTAGTCTTAACTTCAAACCTAATAGGATTAGTGTCACCATTATGACAGGCTATCAGTTAAATATAGAAATCTTCAAATACAAATGTAAAAAATACTTAATTGAAATATAGAGAAATGACATGTTGACAAGGTGAACACATATTTGACATGATATAATGAGCTTATCTAATTATGACAAATGTCATACATCTATCAGCAAAAATAGAACCCAAGGTTCATATAGTGTAGGATACAGGTTTTTGTATTTAATACCTTGACTGAATTTTTAATCAAACCATAAAGAGGTATACATGTATGAAAATTGGAGTAGTCCAAAACAGGTTTAATTTAATCCATTAAATTTCATATGGATTTAAGCTTTTGAGAGATAACACCATACGCTAAGTGTGTAAAATATTTCATGAAATTTAATTAGCAAAGCATGAAAATAATGACTTCTACAATTAGTTTCACTATTAGACCTGAATATACCTGAAAAGGTTATATAAGTATGCAGTCAGATGAACTACTTTATACTGTACCAGACACACATCCTCACAAATACTATGATAATTTAGTGTTAGTGTAGCATTCGAACTGAAAACAATTGAATTATAGACTTAAGTAAAGCAAAGCTCTCAGAAAATTAACAAATGTAGAAATGGACATTTATTTATCGTAAATATGTTGAATATGACTGCTTTGTATATAATGCTGCCATAGATTGCAGAGAAATTTCCTTATTTTTTGGTTTCAACATTTGAGCCTCATGCAGTTTTCCTCGAAGTCATATGGAGTCATCAAGTTGAAACTTTACAAAATTTGTCAAGATTAGCCTATATATTCTTCACTTGTTGAAATAGATGTCCTATATATAAATTAGATATATACAAGTGAAAACTGTTGATAGCCCTAATTGTCATTCTATTTAGATTTGATTGGGCCAATGGGATGATATATGTATTTATATATTATATCATCCATTGTTAAGTTTACCACCTACTGCCTAACTGTAAAATAATATTGTGACATTCCTATCCAAAGTTTGTCTATAATAACATGGAATAGAGATTTGTCCCAATTTGTTAGGTAAACATACAAAATTAATCTGTCAGGTATTAGGTCAGTTTTGTCATGTTTCTGTCCCCATTCACTAAGTGAACATGACTATAGTCACATACATTATTTACGTTTTTTTTTTAAACGAAGACTTAAAATTAAACTTCAAAACTTCCTCAGTAGTTAATGATAGTGTAATGATTACACCAGTATATAAGAGGAAATTTGGTATGATTGACAATGCAACAACTTTCCATCAGAGACCAAGTTACTTGGAAGTAAGCAACTATAGGCCATCTTTATGGCCATCAGAAAAAGGTTATTTTCTTGACCTGTGTTAACCTTTAGTTAACTTTTACCATTACAGGTGTCATGCTTGATCTATAAAATGATCAATCATATTCATTTAAGAAGGTGAAAAGTTTCACAGTGTGCACTTTTATTACCGGGGTCAAAGATAAAGAAACAGTGCCCTTATATTTGTATCAGTGGTCCCAGAGGTCTCAGATTTAATCAATAATCTTGTTTAACTGCAGTTAAAGTCCAAAATGTACTTGATATTTGGTGCAGTAGAGGCCAATTTTCTATTTGACCAATTCAACATTTACTTGACCTTAGGTGACAGACTTTGAGGTTATATTACTTTTCTTTGCATGATTCTTATGTCATTACGATTTGGTTACTGAAATAACATAGCAGTAATAAGAATATGACTCAGTGTTAAGAATTTAGGACAGTTTACTTTACTGCATGGTTATCCAAATGTTTTTACTTTATACGACCCTAATGTAATATTTACAATAAACTTGTAACAGATTAGTTAAAGTTTGAACTAAATATTTTATTGATACTAAAAAACGGTTTGACTCTTAAAAGTATTTGTTAGTATGAGGTTTGATCTTGGTGAGGAATTTATGTGACATAATAATATTGTCTATGATCTCCTCTTTGAAGTAGCAGATCAATACCTCAGTAAGAATCTATATCTATGCTGTTGTAATGTTGTCTGTAAGATTTGTGCATGGAGAACATGGATTTGTCGACCACTGTTAAAATAAATCTCTGTTTAGTAAGTAAATATTGAGAAGGCTTTGAAATCTCATTAAATCCTACTACCCTTGAGATTTTGTAAGTTTACAAATCCTCTAGTGAAATGTTTTATAAGATTTGACATGAATGTAATGAACAGTTGTCAAATTTAGATTGCTATGTCATTGAGACCATTGCTATATACTTGGCCTTGGTGGTCAAGTGGTCTAAGTAGTTCATCTACTGTATCACTAGCCTGTCAACACTGAGGTTGTGAGTTTGAATCCTGCACATGTCAGGTGTGTTCAATTCCAATCTTAATTAACAAGGATTGTCATAATTTCCTTCCAACGGTCAGTGGTTCTCTTCAGGCACTCCGTCTTCCTCCACCAATAAAAACTGACCACCATGATATAGCAACTAGTGCTAAAAGTGCTGTTAAACACCAACAATTAATCAATCTATATACTAAACATCTTCTCTCTAAGACTGGATAATTTTCTGGTTTCTATGAAAAAATCTGCTCTGCATTTATATAAGGTATATCTTCTTGCAAAAATTGTCCATACGTTTTTACAACATGATCCACAAAAGACATAGAAAATAATTTCTATCAGAGAATGTGTCCAATGTTTCTGAAATAAAACAAAAATATAAATAAAAACTGGTTGTAAATTCATAGTGCTAGTACATAGTTATATGGGACCTTGTAATGACATTAATATAAGTTAAAAAGTATTTTTATACAACTTAGTTTTGTGTAAGGTAAATATATCAAAATGGTTTTGTGTATAAATAGTCAATTAAATAGGGCAGGTTTGAAATTTTCAAGGCCGTAAGTAATCTTTCAGGAACATTATATTCTTTTATTTAGTGGTCGTAACATATTTTTACTTTTGCTTTTTCTAGGATGTCGAGATATGCGAGGGGGAGCAGTAATTTTCATTTTCACAGGAAGTTCTCTCTGGAAAAATCAACAGGTATCCAGCTCAGAGTTAGCAAGACTCCTTTTGTATTATAGATCTGTTCCAAGGTAAGCAGCCTGAAAATAAATATTCCTGTTAGCAGTATATAATTATAACAGTAACAAAATAAAATAAAATTTGAAAACATTAAAGTATACCCCCAAACCTTCTTATATTCATAGCAAGAAGGTCACCATACAGCACAACAAACCATTCATCAAAATGTTACTTTCTCAAAGTCTTAAGAATGAATTCAAATTCAATGACAAAAACAAATCAGATTCCATAATCCCACTTTATAATGGAAAACATGCTGTAACCCAGACTTTGAAGAAACTGTAATAAACTATCAAGAATACATTGGAAAATCAAGAGAAATCAGGAGCTGATTATATATTACAAATTATATATTAGATTTTCAGTGGTTAAAACATGAAAATCAATGGTTTCAATATATGTATATGGAGAGTAAAATTGTGCAGTCTATTAAATCATAGACATTATATTCATAAATAGAATATTTCCCTCCAGAATCTATGGTTTTAATGATATGAATTAAGGAGATGTGGTTGTCAGTGAAAGAACTATAAACCAAAGACCAAAGGACAAATGACAAGGATGAAAACCATTACAGGTCACTGTATGGCCTTCAACAATGAGCAAAACTGATATAGTACTGTAAGCTATAAAAGGCCCCTGAATAACAAATTATGAAATAATTTTAAAGATAAAAAAAAAGCAAAAGAAAATTATGACAGACAGCAACCAACCAAACCACTAGATCACAGGCTTGGTACTGCCTATGAAAATGTGACAAGATTAAACATGTTTGTGAGTGGTCAGTACAATACTGATCAGTGACAGTAAAATAAATCATTTAATTATTGATAATTATTACGATATCATTGTATATTTCAGAGAGGAAGTTAAACAGAAAGGTCTTACCATTGTTGCTGATGTCAGAGGCTCCAACTCTTCTACAATTAATACTTTGTTAGAGGCTATATATTTATTAGAGGTAGATAGATTGTTAGAATTCAGATTTTTGTATATAATAATCATCATAAAACAAAAACATGAATGCTTATAAAAGTGGTCAGGGCTATTCCTATATTTACTTTGGGAAAGACTTTTTTCTTTTAATCTCTTAAACTCCATACAATATAAAAAAAAATTTAAACTAATTTTTGGAGAATTTTTGTAAGCAAATAAAAACACTTTCATATTTTTATTCAAAGTGAATACTATTTATTTCTTGAACAGCTTTAACAAGATGCCAAGGTGTAATAAAAACTATTACACTGTAGTCAGAAAAAGTAGATAGTATAGATCATTAAGATCCAAGTTGGAAAACACAAAATGTTTTCGTAGAAAAAGCTACTGGTATTAATCTCTGGAAGGACATACAGTTCCTGTTGCTTATATTGAAAATTTGGAGTTCTTTGGTTAAAACTCTTGTAGATGGTTGTAAAGGGTTTGTGCAAGGACTACTAGGAAATTATAATTGTAAATATAACCCTTTACCACCCGCTTGCAGTAAGTCACTATTCCAGAAACATTGATTGGAAGAAATTTGTTTTCATCTGTTACACTCTTGTATACTCATCACATGCAAAGAGAGTACTTAAGGTCTAAAGATTAATAGTTCTTATTAAACGAAAAAATTTATTATACTGGGTACAACATTTCATAGGATCAGTGTCAAGGATAAATATTTTTTTTTCAGATAATGGCTGTATGTCTAAATCACATTTAAATACAAAGTTGTCCTTGGCATTATTCCGTTGTAAGATTATTGCCAAACCACATATGAAGTAGTGTCTTAAGACAAGTATTTGTTGAGGATATTATTCACAGTAGCATCTTACATTCAAAGTGTTAAATTTTTTGCAAGCTGAGAAAAGGGTTGGATATGTAGAAAAATGTATTTATAGTTTCATAAAAGAAAACAATGTTTTTGTTTTTCATCAAAACGATTTTGAAATAAGCCATAAAAATTTTTCACAGCCTGAATGTGAGTTAATAATTTTCACTATTATTTTTTCCAGGGTAACATACCAAATTGTATTGCCTCATTATTATGTGTTGCTGATCTCCATACTGAACCATTGGTGCTGAAGTCTCCTGTGTATGACAAAAAGGCATCTTTTAAGGTATATTTTTGTTGTTGTTATTAGAGTTACATGTGGCCACGTGAAGCTGTAGAGCTACTCTATGAATATGAAAAAAATTCAAAGAGATTTAGGATGATAATTTAGGTTAGATTTGAGAAAATGAAACTTTATTAAAAATTCAATTGCCTAATGGTTTAGAAAAACTATTTTTTGTGGTTCATATTTCATTTAAGGTTAACATTGCTTGCTGGTATAATGAGAAATAATAACACGAATTAATGAAATCTTAAAGATATTGAAGAAAAGTCATATGAGAATACATAAATCCTATAAATCTATATTCCTTCCAATTGTCTTAGGATATTTATTTTTAATTCCTTGGAGTGTAGTACATTTGTTGCTCCCTATTTAATGTATATTTACTATATACAAAACTCGTCAGTTCTTTATATGTATAAGAATTCAGAAAAAAAAAATTTAGACTATTGCATGGAGCTAGGATGAGTATAATGCTGAAGATGGAACATTACATGTTTTAAGAAGAATGGAGAAAATTTGATCAATAGAGAAAACACTGGTTAACCAAGTATAGGGTGGATCTCATTTCTTTCCTTTAGATATTTTGAAATAAAATCTATTTTATGATATAGTAACAGATACTTTACAATATTTTTATAAATTTTCAGAGCTGTGTTTTACTGTCAGTTGAACAACTTTGTGATTCTATAGAACTAGACCAGCTACCATTAATATTCCATGGATTGTTTGTATACTGTCACGAGGACTGGGTTAGATTTCATATGGTATGTCAGAAGATTTATCATAATTATTCTTGTATTTAGAAATTGACAGGAAGTTTTAGTTTTCTCAATTGAATTGTTTCATATTTTTCATGTCTGGCCCTTTTATAGCTGACTATACTGTATTGGTTTTTCTCATTGTTGAAGGCCGCAAGGCTGCATTTTATTGCTAACATCTACTTCATTTGAATTTTGGTGGATAGTTGTCTCATTGTCAATCATACCACATTTTTATATTGGATTTATTTTCATTAGTGAAAAGTAATTTATTTGAAATTTATTTTAAGCGTTTAACAGAAGAAATATCCTAAATTCCCTAGTATTTTCTAATATTCTTTAAAATAAGAAAACAACACATAATGAAATACTTAATAGTCTTCTGAAATTCATGCACAGTGAAATTTTTTGACAGAGACTCTTCCCACTTTTAGTTAGACCAAAAAATCAACTTATTTCAATGTACAAGACAATTGTTTATTTATTAGTAAGGCTTCAGACAATAAGTCAGATATTTAAAATGCTTTAGTGCACCAAAACCAAAAAACACCTAAGCTGCAAGCCTAATCTGTGTAAGGTCAAATTCCACTAGAGGGAGTTTCAACCTTTTATAGATTAAGTAGAATTACATCATTATTAAACTGAAAATTACCAATTATAATGTATAATGTAAATCATGATGGTACCAATCACAGAACAGCTCATCTCCTTTAGACATGTATAATGAATTGATATGGTCATAATTATAAAATAACTGTTTACAAAACTTTTGAATTTTTAAAATGCTAAGGATTTTCTACCCCAGGATTACCGTAGCTGTATTTGGCAAAACTTTTCGGAATTTCAGGTCCTTAATGCTCTTCAACTTCTTAATTTTTTTGGCTTTTAACTTTTTTTGATTAGAGCGTCCTTATGAGTCTTTTGTAGAGGAAACGCCTGTCTGGTGCACAAAATTTTAAGCCTGGTATCTATGGTGAGATTATTTAGGCTTGATAGTCACCACCAGCACCATTCGAGACAGCTGTACTGTCTCAATAGTACCAAGATAAATGCATGATACAAATGTCCATGTGGTCATTGCTTGTTTATAGAATAACTTTCATATGAGAAGTTTTAGCTTGAATTCTAAATGTTTTACTTTTCAAAAAGATAAGATATTCACACAAGCTGTGTTTTATATTTTCTCTCTAAAGTATATTTTTCTGCTTTCTGTGATACCGATTGAGCATCTCCAAATTTACAAGAAAACAGAATGCTGTCTTATTTCCATATAAAGTGTTGTAAAATCATTCATTTCTTTCAGAAACTGGATCCATTTTTGTCCAAATTGCGAGCTACAGCCAAATATTTAATATGTGTAATGCAGGATTTATCTGATGTTGATGTAGTGCCAAAAAATTTTGATGAAACAACTCGGACAATCAAACATCATGAAGAATCAGTGAAATCGGCTTTATGTGATCAGAGATTAATTTCATTACAATCAGATGGAAAGGGAATAATAAGTGATTTACAAAAAGAGGAGGAATATATGTCACATACAGAAGACTATAGGTATTGTCCTTATATTAACACTGAACCACATATTTCACATCTAAAAATTCATTGTACTCTTTATATCGATTGTTGGGAAATACATACCAGACCCCATAAAATGTATTTGAATTTACTTTTTTGAAAATTTCTGTGTAAAAAAAGCTGAACAGTTATATTATATCAACTAAGTTCACTGTGAATATTATATGGACTGCATAAAAACTATTGAGTAGTTATTTAGACCAATAATGTTTGTGTGTTTATAACATTTTAGGGACTGTATGAAAGCTGTTGACCAGTTATACATTCAGCTACAGAATAGTATGGTGAAGTTAGTAAAGTTATCAGAGAATAGATTGAGAAAGCTGGAGAAATGTCTACATCTCAGGGAATTCGAAGAAGAGAGTAATAAGGTTTGTTCTTTTTAATTATTGTATAAGCTATTTCTGCATGTAAAATAAACCATTAGAAATTTATGTTGTAATGTAAGGGAGATAATCTGACTTAAATTTTCATAATCAATAATAAAATAATGTCTATACAAAAAACACTTATATTCTCTGCTAAATGAACTTGAGCTTCTTTTTTTTCATCATTTTGCTAACATATAAATCAAAAACTAACCTTAGATGATTTTGATATCTATTGAAGTTGTTTTGGCTTTGATGCTAGCATTAGGCTTCACAAACTTTTGACTTGAACAAACCTGATGAGGCATATTTCAGGAACATGAAATTGGTATCACAAAATTATCTGAACAATATATGGACATCCGATATTGCAATAATGTAAAATGGACAGTTAATATGCTTGATAAGAGCCCTTGACGTAGCATAAGAAATTTTTACCGAAATTGTTTTATAGATTTTGTCTAGACTTGGACTTTTTAGATTTTTCCAAATTTGTGTGTTTGACAGTTTGAGTACACACATGATTGTGATTAATTTTGTTATAATTTCCTCATATTTCAAAGGTCCTCCTGATGAAGATTACCAACCTCCTAATGGAATCTGAGAAAAAAATGGAATTATTTTAGTAGAGTAGAAGCAATTATTAAAATTTACCAACCAGATTCCCTATTTACAATATAATCTAGAATCATGAGTGCATATCATGTCCTGTTCAAATGAATGCATGGAGCATCCTCCCTAATTGATCTAAATATTAAAATGGGTGTTGATATAATGTTTTTGAACATTAAAGGAAGATAATTGTCCTTGACTGTACTGTTAAATATGTAAGAGGCAATTTTAGTATAATTATTATAAATGTCAAAGCAATTATTGTTAGTGTTTATTTTGTGAATCATTTAATTATTTCCCTTTGGTAATACTATAATACTGTCATTAAGTCATATGATGTTTTTTAAATGATTTGTACTTGGTGTAAAGAGGTCACGGATCTTTACCATGACAATTTATTATATAATTTAAAAAAAACAACATTGAAAATGTACTCTTTTTAAAAAAGGAGGGGGAGATCCAATAAATTTGTTAAACACATTTTTAGCTTTTTGAACCAAAAGACCAGTGTGAGTTATTGTTAATATTTGACATTAGTTGTCTGAATTGGTCTTATTGTTAACTTTTACCATAAATATCATGTCAAAGCACTTAACAGTCAATTGAAACCAACTTGGCCTTTTCCAACCTTACAGTCTTTTAGTTTCGATTTTTGGTTGGTAATGAATTGTTTATTTGGTAGCTACATGCAATATGGGATCTGTTATTGTTTACTAATATTTGACCTTGCATCAATCAAATTTTGTAAACAATGCAGTTTTCTTCTTCATTTTCAGCCCTCTTTGAAATATATGAGCATCACTTGGTATTATATTGAGTACTTATCATAGCTGAGTTTTGTTTTGATCTACTTTCAACACAATTGAACTCACCAAATTGATTTTTCTGCTCAGCTAATCTTTGGAATATTATGCTGCTATTTAGTATGAAATTGTATAACAAATTATTTGCAGAGATTTGTTTTGGTTGACATATTTAAGACCAAATTTCGATCCATGGATTTAGACAATTTCTTAAAGATGACTTTTGTCACTTAATATTCTGTCTTAATGGCAGGCATGCAATTAATTGCATTCTATAAGGATATCTTCTTAGCACAATATATTAACATGCACATAATTTGCTGCTCTCATACAAATGACAAACTTCTGAATCCATGATTGGAGATGTGTAAATTTTCAACTGTAGATTTGCTGACATTTTCTTATTTCACATGATAATTATAGGTTAGTTAAATTCCTGCAGAATGAAATTTCATCTGGATTTTGGCAATTGTTTTTGTGATAGGACATGTAGGATATTTATAAAATTTTCACTTGGAAAATTTCTAAAAATTTAGAGATTCTAATATCTAGACTGATTCTATATATATCAATGAGACAGCAACCCAATGACACGAATAACAAAAACACATCTAGAGATAGATAAGATGAACACAGTTACTAGCTTACACATGTTTGGCTAGAGCAGTAGTGTAAAGCTGAATATTAGTTTATATTGAACATATCAACTCCCCCCTTCTCCACTCCATCACTACCGGTACTTGTAAGTGTTCTGTAAAAAAAGGAGATTTTAATCTAGTGTATTTTACTTAGCCAAATGATGAACTTAGAAATCTTTAAAAATAATCAATGTAAACATCTGAGATCAATCTCAACATAACCCCCCCCCCCCCCCCCCCCCCCCCCCCCCCCCCCTTCCCATCACTACTTTAATTTAGTGCATTTCTCTTAACCAAATGTAGAACTGGGAAATCCCTGAGAAAATAGTTGTAAACATTTTAGATCAATGGTTTATCAATCTGTTTCTCAACACTGTAACATCAGTGATGAAATGGATTGCCTTCATTACATAACTCAATGAAATGTATGACTTATTGATTCAGGTAATGGCTTGTTGTCATGTGAGGCTGTAAAAGTAACAGGATTTGTATCCATCCTCCAAAATGATGAGGTGTGGGATCAATCTGCAATTCCTTATCAATCTCCTTTTCAATCTCTGTAATACATTTTGTAAATTTGAACAGATATTGTGAGCACTCTAGATGTTCTAATTATTGCAGTTTGATCTATCATTGTCCCAGTTGTGTATTAGAATAGCAATACAGGAAAAGAATGTTGTAAAAAGTGGTAGAGAGTTAATTATAGTGTAAACTGACCATATGTATTGTTTATTTAACTGTCCTTTATGTGTTTTTAGTAGAATTATAAAATAATGATATTTGAGCAGATAAAGAAAGGGTCTTTTCTTTGTTATAATGGGTCAAATTTAATTTTGGACAAAATATCAATCTAAAATAGATATTTGAGACTATATATGGATGTTGGTATTATTGATTTACTTATGTCTGGATATACATGATATACTTTATTATAACTCCGGGACAAGCAACAGTTTATTGAGTTATAAGTGTCATGTTGATAAAGTATTAGTATTAATTTTTATAATTTGACATTTGTAGTTATTCAGACAGGAAAGTGTTTTCTGTGGTGCATCTGAACTGAAGATTAAGTGGATAAAAATCTATAGGGTTTCATAGTACCATTTTACCCTTTCATGGCATAATTATAGCAAGAGCCACGTGCAATCAGTTAATGCACTAATTGCCCAAAACTTTTGTGGCCCATGGCATGTATTAATTTCCTACTTAATTGTTTCAAAATATGTGAAATGCTGTATCAGGTTCTGAAAATTATGATTCCTGTAGATCTTGTTTAAAATGCAGTATACACAACCAAAATAATGGGAACTAAAATATTTTCATCAGTTATTATTGAGTTTAATATCCAGTGATCTCAAGTTCATACTCATATTCTATAAATATAATATAACACTCCAAATGAACTACTGGTGATAGAAAGTTATGGGAGCATTAAACAATACATAGTCATAACTGAAGTATCCTTTGAAGAGCCATACCAGAAACATACCTACCCAACAGTCTATCTCTGAAGTAACTCTATTGGTATGTTTCATTCATCACTTTACAATGCCCATCAATAATTTACTTCTTGGCACAGTCACTGTATAATGTCCATTGATAATTAACCTGGCACAAACTCTATAGGTCTATATTAACCCTGCATTCTTGGACAGAACTTCAAAAACAGATTGACACAGTCTGCTGTTTGTTTACGTTAGCTGTTAGTACATATTTATTTTCTGCTGACTTGGCAGTCTGTATGATAACCATATGACTGGTCAGCATCCAGTATGGTAAAGTCAGAAGTCCTGGACCTTTCTGGTGTGAAGTCCAGCGACCCTTTACAGTTTTAGGGGTTTTTATTCATGGTATATTTGAAAAATGTCAATGTACAAGGTTCTTTGAACTAGTAGAGTGATTAGATTTTTTTCCAAAGCAACAAACTCCAAAATGTTGAAATGGAATAAGTAGTTGGTATAAGAATGAGAGTAATTGATGCATTACTAGAAATTTTATTGCAAATTTCTTCAAATTTCCTTTGATCATATATGTGATAATTTCCATCTCAAGCTACTTATCTGACATTGGTTTTTCTTGGTAGAGGAGAGTGAGAATGCATGATGTCTTAAGCTAATGTCATTGATGTTGTCAAGGAAAATATTGAAAAGCAGATTTTCTATGATGTTTCAAACTCCAGGAAGTTTCTCCTCTAATCTCTTCTCAAGGTTATCACCCTTTGATGAGATTGTATCTGAGAAACTCCCTCTCTCTATTTCAAAACCATAGATTGTACAAGGCAAGTAGTGCTTATGGATAAATATCAAGAGAATATATTAAAGTCATCTTCTTCTTGTTACATGTAAGCCATTTCTTAATCATTGATAACTGTCCTCCGTCAACAGTATAAGCATAGTTGCTTTGATATATTGGTAACCGGTAATCAAAATATTCACTGCATATTCATCATTTAAAAAAATGGAAGATAAAAATATTTTACTACTCATTCAACTTTCTTGATTAGATAAGATAAGAAATAAAAATTATAGGAAAATACTTTTTTTAATTATTTTCGATTCTAAAATCAGCATAATTTTTTTCGAATCACTTTATAGTCATATGAGCATATACAATAAAACTTGTAATAACTACAAATCATAAACAACAACAAAAATAAACAGATTTGGGATTTAAGAGGACCACTAGGTTTTCAGATACATAATCATTTATAGCAATTTTGTTAAAAAAAATGTTTCGTAAATTTTTGTAATTTTTACAGTATATTAGAAAGTGGTTTTCATTGTCTGTTCTTTTACATGTTAGACACTTTCTTTTTTTACGAGGTAAATTGAGATATCTGCCCTTTTCTACTCAAAATTAATGATCGCTAATTCTTTTTGTAAGTAAGTGTATAGTTTCAAAATCTGGATATCTTAAATAAAATTCTTCATCTTGTTTGACTTTTGCTTTTATAAAGAAAAAATTCTATTTTGGGAAGAACAGTAATGTTTCAAAGTAAAGTTACAATTTCAAACAGTGTAAAACTTTTGATTAATGTTCATAATGATTGGGTGGAGAGCATGAGAACTCATTAGAAATATCATCTGACTAATTCGAAGGTTAATGATTTACAGTAAAATATGAATAAAAACTTGTTTTCACAGCAGACAGCACATGTCCAGGATAGTTAATAAGTTCCCTAGATTGTTTATTTATTTTAGTATGACTGAAAACATCTGTTTTTATGAGTCCAACACCAATTCCTTAGTTAATATCTAATCTAGAATTAAGCCTATTTTATCTCTTGGCTTTATCATCATCAATTCTACTAAAATTACAGAGATCATTTTCTATTTTATAGATAACTGATGTTTTTGTATGTATTGGCAGATTCTCTGCTTTGATCATAATTTTTGGTAAATATGAATTATCATAGTGAATCATAGTCATCTGGGTTACAAGGATGTTTGATAACTTGCAGTTTCTATGGAGACTTTGATAAATTTTTGAAGATGTGCAAGTTTTGAAATCACTACAATCTTAATGGTTTATATTATCTGAGAAGTGTGTCAGACTTGTGCTTCAGCAGATTACTGATTCTGATAAATTTTTGGAGTGTAATGTGGATATATGTTCTGTCCACAGGACATCTATTATTATTTAATTGTAATTTTTGAAGGATAAAAAGTATATTTTAAGTGATTACATGAAAAATCCAGAATGTATGATAGAATGCTGGAATATGTTGTAAGTACTTTTAGAATATTAAAGATTAAAAGTAATACCAACAGAGCACTTTCTATCTCTCTGTAAAAAAATGTAATATTTTGGTGTTCAGGTGCAGATATATTTAATTTTTGGTGAGGGAATTGATTTGTGCAAGACATAAATTGAATTATTAGAGATACTTGGAAATGGAGATTTTTTTGATTTTTTTTTAAACAAAAATAATGTTTTCTTTTTATATTAATTCATGTTAAGTGTTTAATCCCTAGGATTATATCATTGTATTTATTTCATTTATTTCTTGTAAATGTAACATTTTTTTTTTATTTTGTTGAAATTTATTGAAAATTGCACTTGCATGTTACCCTTTCTTAATAAGGAAACTGCTCACAAATACAGGAAACATCAAGTGAAATTCAAATGAGTTTGGACTTGAAAGGAAATTTGCATTCAGATGTTTGACTGAGCAGTCTGTGGACTATTGACTAGAAAATGGTGTAATCAGACATGACATTTTAGTTGCTATGAAGTGCAGAGGACAGGATCAGTCACAGTAATAGAAAATTATTATTCATGAAGGTTTCTTATAATTAATTTATTATTTGTTAAAGCTGAACATATAATCATAGTTGTGGTAGCTGAAATCAAGAATTTATTGTTTTTACTCTTGAAGTACATTCGTTGTAAACTCTTGAAATTTTATTACTATCCAAGAGGCTTTGCTCTATCTCATTACTAATGGGACAAAATGTTTTTCAGTTGCAGTTTGAATTTATTTCTTCAAACTTTTTAATTGCTGTGTCTTTTTCATCTACTGCTAGAGAACAGTTGTAAATATAAATCAAGTGAAGTCCATGGTCAACTTTTAATATGATGGTAAAATTAATACTTCGTTGAATATTTGAATTCTTGGTTCACCTTGATCCACAACATACATGAAAATTGGTAACCCTCGAATAATAATGAATCCACAGTATCTAGTTATCAGGTTTTCCAAAGTTGTTACTTAATTGTGTGCAAGAATAATTACGCTAATTGAAGTGCAAAAAGTTGACTGACATTAACAGGTTATCTTTGACTGACTTTAGATAAGGAAGACAACATTAATGAATTACAACTGTGATTCTGAATAAGTAATGAAGACATTGGGTTTCATTAGATAATCATGGACTCTCTCAATGAAAGACTATAGTGTGTTCAGTTGGATATTATGTACGGATTATTATGTGACAAGAGGGAAAACTAAATTATTTTTTAAGATTTTTAAAATAAATTAAAATATGAGAAGATATGTCATATGAAGTGCAATGTAAATAAAAAAAAGCTTCACTGTACTCCTTTATTTTGCTTCATTACAAAGTAGATGAATTTGCAGCACATTCTTTTGGAAAACTGAGTTATCATTGTAGGTTACATCTGACCTTGACCTCGTTAACATGGATCATTGATTATGTATTTAGTTTATGTGATTCCCATAGTAAAACCTTTATCTTAAAGAATTTCAACAAAATTCTATCATAATCAGTAAAGCAGGCGAGGCAGTTTCCAGAGACATTTCACTCTTGTGTGTATTTCTCCTGACAGTTGAATACATTTTTAACATAGATGAAGTATCTGTTCCCAATAGACACTAGTACTTTATAATATGAATTGTATTCATTTAAAAGATGGTGTCTTTTTCTTTGAAATATTCAATTACCTTTTGTTAAAAGTATAAAGACAATTTTTTAAAACTTCATTTGCAATATCTGTTTTACCTGTAAGTTTTCCTGTTTGAACCTCAGTAAAGAATGTATACAACATGTTGTATTGAGTAGATGTAGATGATTTTATAGTTCTAAATGGGGGTGTTATTGAACATGTTAGAATAATATTGCAAACAATTATATTATAAGGTAAGCTTACATTTTTAGTATATGTCATTAAGTAGATTATATGTAAAACAATAGGTATAAACTGTGTAAGTATACCCACATGATGAACCTGTTTCAGGATACCCCCATGATGTACAGTGGTTACATTTTCTGTACAGGGTTGTGAAGTAATAATCTCTCCTTATGAAACATGATAACCTCAATGCCTGAATGGGATAATGCCCTATAGATTGCAAACTACAAACTGTTTTCCCCGTGCTAAGGGAACAATAGTAGCATTTTTTAAGATTTAAGAAGTTGATTTTGAGAGCAAAATATGTAAAGAAAAATTGTTAGGCCAATATGTTTTTGTCCAAAAAATAGAGGTTCCTGTTGCTTTTCTGTACATAATTTTTGCTTATCTCCCTTACCTATCAATTCTCACTTAAAAATACATGTCTCTTCACATCTTTAAGTTTCTTAAGGGCAAATGAAAATATATTGTTTTGCATTTAGTCTATGAAAGAGTCCATGAGGTGTTTCGGTAATAATAAATATCAGGTACACACAAAGACCAAATAGGATTAGCCACACTCTTAATTCTGAATACCATGTTCAGAGACCATGTTATCTTCATTTTAATGGCTGCGCCCATGTAACTGCATGTTACTGGATTGTTTAACAGATAAAACTGCTGATGTTATCACATATGCATGAGTTAAAATCAGGTTAAAAACTTTACAATGTGTTAAAATGTCGATGTTTTAGCATACAGTGAAAGGTCCAATTCTAAAACAACAAGTGATATGTTCTCCTGTAAAAATAAGGTATTGGACATCCAAATGAAATAAAAGGCTACAGTTGAATTTTAAGATGTAGGTAATTCTGAATGAGATTAGGTACACTTATGAAGTAAGATTGATTGAGTGGTTGTTACTTTCTTAATTTCCAGTGGCAAATATTTGATGCTTGTTCTGGATAGAGAACAAATGAGTAAATACATCAGATGAGGTACTAAGAAGTGGTAGACTAGGGTGATGACATAAGAATATGGTCCTTGTCTAGATGTTCATTTTAAAAAAAAAGTGTGATTCAAAAGCATTAGGAATGTATATAGCTTTAGTTTTTTTTTACCATAACAGTTCAGTCATGGATAAATTGATATTATCTTAACTTTACTGTCTGATTTATGAGAAAGTCATTAACAAACCTTACTCTAGTGTCAATTAATAGCTTTATACTAACTACCTAATGATAGCTAACTTTATTTGGATGCAATTCCATAACCGATTTGTCCAACCTTCTTGATAAAGATAAATCATGGTCACCAAGTGACAATTATAGAATTCAAATCAAAGGAAAAACTATCATTTAAGAAATTGCCCAATCACATCCAACAGGAAGAGATTTCTATTAATTTGAAAGCTGGATCAATAGTCTTCCCACTTATATATATCTGTCTGTGTTCCTTAATCCTGATCTCTCTTTTTCAGGTCATCAGTTGGTTACAGAGCCATGGTGGACAGATTGCTGACCGCTATGCCAATCTGGCCGACAACTTAAAAGCCATCCGATCTCAACAGAAAGACTTTGAGAAATTTCACTTCAGTGCAATGGTAAGTGAAACATAAATAGTTTGTATTCATTACCTGCAAGAAGCATTATTTATTATACTAAAAATCATTTTTACAAAATTTTTAAATGATTAATTCTGCTTATTTAAGTATGCATGTGCATGTTACGTGCAACGATTTGAAAGATAGTGCATGCAGATGTTCTTTGCTGATTTAGGATGCATATACAAATATCATAGCTTTTTCTCTTTTTTATATACTAAGTCCTGATCTTAATAACCACACCTCTAGCCAATGAGGGTTTTGGGTTTAAACAGAAAGTTTACCTGCACATAAAGTTTTGAGTACTCTTCACAATTAGAGTTTGTATGATGCATAAAACAAATAACAGAAAATACCAGCACAACAGGCTGACTTTGAATGTTGACAATCAAGAGGTTAAACACATTCTTTGGCTACCCTACTTGTAAATAAATTCTATGCTTTGTATGAGTTACATGTAATTTTGCTCATTTTGCTAATATGCAGTTTACAAAAAAGTAGGTAAAATAATGAAATATCTCCCTCACAGAAAGAAGGGAAAATAATACAAAGATGTGTAAATTTGATATCCTCAAAAGGCAAGTTTTTTATTTCATGGTGACAATTTGTGCTTTAAAAAATGTTAATTTTTACACAAAAACTTATATCAGATGGACACTATTGCAAAAATAGCCAGAGGGAGTAAAGACTGCTTTCATAAATAATAAAAAACTGAATTGACTTTATGAATTTATGATTTCCTTTACTCTAGGGCAGATATAAATATTTTTTTTTATTGTTTAATATTTATAGCTGGAAGTAGCATATACTAATTGGATACATTGTTAAATAATTCAATCTAAATAATACTAAGTAAAAAGATCACAAAAATGTATTGGAATCTTTATAACAACTAGAGAAAACTTACTTTTGATGGTAAATATACAGTCACATTATCAGATCTTTAACTTTTAAAAATTTAAAAAAAATCTGTTTCTGGTATTTAACCTGATTTATTGCTGATGATGACAGTTTCTTATGTTGAATCTGTATTTGTATATATTACATAATATGTCTGAATTTCAGGCTAGAATTAGATGATTAAAGATTTTTGATTATGTTTTTTATATAACTGTGTATTTATGTGCAAAATTACATGTAATGCATATAATATATGTATGTGTATTTGTAGCTATTTAAAGTATGTGTTTAACCTCTTGGTTCTCAACTTTTCATTACTGGTACATAAGATTTCAGCTATATTTAATATTACATATATATAATTATGACTGTAAGAATAAAAACCCTGTCACATTTTTTTAAAGAAAATAGTAGCGTTTCATAATATAGAAACTATTAATTATAGAAATTATTTAATTATTATGAAATTATTGTTATAGTTATGTAAGACACATGATGTATTAGGCTCTGATCCTGTCCATAATATGATAGTATTATATTAGGATCTAGTTTTTCTTTTTTCCAATCATATTGTGCTTAATATTGTTGTAAATGATGCCCTTTATGGGTTCTTGATTAGATTAATAAAATTCTTATCTTAAATTCTTATCTTTATAGAATTCATTTTATATGTAATTGTTTCTGTGTAATTTCGAGTACTTCTGTCTCGTAACAAGGAGGAAATTAAAACCATTTCTTAGCTAAATTAATCAAAATAGGCCTTAAAATGCCTTTAGCAAATTAACACTGAACTTGTTTGTTATGATCAATAAAAGGACAACATCCTGAGACAGCATCAGGCTTGATAATTTGTCACTTGGATAAGATTCTTTGCTTTGGCCAACGGTTTTATTTGAAATCAATCATAATACATCCTCAAGGTCTTCTATTCCTGTTATAGAACACAACTCCCTCTTTATAAGTAATAACATTTCTTGGAAAAGTTGTTTTCAGCACAAGAAGAGAAATTAATTACGGAAGAATTCATCAGATTATTGTATGAAATGTAATAAAATAATTTGGCACCATCCCATTGTTGGAATATAATGTGTATGTGCCATGTCCAGGATAAGATATCTGACAATGAAATTAACTTATTTTAGATTGGTGTAAATATTAAATGTTGATATCTCATTAGAAACTGACACATAACTGGCATTTCTGGGTTTATAGAAATTGATTTGATTGTAATGAATATCCTTTATTTGATTTAGCAAGTGTTTGGTGAAAATGTCTGAAATTAAGTATTATATATATATATCAAGGGTCCGGAAACGGTCATATATGCCAGACATGACCGATTTGGAAACTGAAAAGACCGAAATGATTTATTGGGATTTAGGTCTTTTTTTTTTTTTTTTTTACAGAAATAATTTCGGTCATTTCATTGAGATCAGGGTTTTATCGGTCGCCATTTTGAACTTATTTTTGTTTTCAGGTCATCAAGAAAAATAGATTTGTTTGAGACAAAATAAAAATTTTATTGATTTGTGTTAGTGATTTAATAATATTTATCATTAGTCTGTTGTTTATTCTATAATGTAAGTAAAAACAATGTACAGGACTCTGTCGAGTCACAGCGTGGGGTAGGTCTGGGTTCAAGCCACTAGGTTTGTTTACATAGTAATTATCACCACTTGAGGATAGTAATCAATGTCCAGGAAGTTTGAATTCGGCTTGGGTGTCGTTATTGTCTTGATTAAAGCCATAAAGGCAATGTACACAAATCTCTATGATAACCATATGACTGGTCAGCATCCAGTATGGTAAAGTCAGAAGTCCTGGACCTTTCTGGTGTGAAGACCAGTGGCCCTTTAGGTGTAATACCACCAAATCATAGTACGTCACATCCGGTTGCATACGAAAATAGGTCGAAAAAAAATATTCCCTTGAATTTGACAGTTGTAGGTAATTGATCCTACATTTCATTGCAGTAAAACATTTCTGAGTCATAAACATATACATTGAGCTGCAAAAGTTTCTTATCATCTACATCCGATTTCACCTGGATAGATGCACGCTTAATAAAGCTAGTTAGTCTAGCGAAATATTGCGTTTATTTTCATCATTTTGTTAATATTTTAAACATTCTTATATTTACATACTAAATAGTGTGTTAAAATTACATTGTTAGGCAATCTATAATTTTATTTGTGTAATTGAATTAATCTCTGTACTGATTAATCCACACTCCCATAGATTTGTATGTCATGTGCTGCTATTTATAGGCACTTATATATAAGATATTATATATACTGTGTATTTATTTAGGATAAGAACTTATAGTAATTTTTTTGCCCCACCTACAATAGTAGAGGGGCATTATGTTTTTCGGTCTGTGCGTCCGTTCGTTCGTTCGTTTGTCTGTCCATTTGTCTGTCTGTCCCGCTTCAGGTTAAAGTTTTTGGTCAAGGTAGTTTTTGATGAAGTTGAAGTCCAATTAATTTGAAACTTAGTACACATGTTCCCTATGTTATGATCTTTCTAATTTTAATGCCAAATTAGAGTTTTGACCCCAATTTCACGGTCCACTGAACATAGAAAATGATAGTGCGAGTGGAGCATCCATGAACTATGAACACATTCTTGTTTATGGTACAGTTTTTGTATTTTATTTAATAATATCTAGTTAAAATTCTGTAATTGAGGATAACAGGTGAAATTCCTAGGGGAATATTTTTTGTCTGAATAGAAGCCTATTAAAAGGGAAAGCTTTCTATTGTATTTGTCATTTAATTTCTAAATGGAATAGTTTGGAAACTCACAGATTACATTACATAGATACACAATTAAACAGTTTTTTTCCATAAATATCACACACCTTTCATGATGAATGCAGATTCTTGTCTGTGCACAGGAACAGTATCCAACATTATTTCTCTAAAGATTTAAAACTAGAATTTGCAAACAACAGCCATCACTTTTGTCAGAAGACTTTTGAAACTATTTAAATATAAGTACTTTTTTTTCAAATTGAAAGTTCCTACTGTCTACTAGGAACATTTTTGTAGTACCTATATTGTTACTTTATTATTGCAGTCTTTCATAGAAAAAGGAAATGATTTGTTAGAAGAGGCCAGTATTTTAGCCCAATCTGGAGACTTTGATGATGCTACAGGGTACAAAGAATTGGCCCGGACCCTGAAGAAACATTTACAAGACTTTACACAGAGACTGGAGACCACCAGAGAAAGGATAGAGAGTACCACAAAGTGTTATCATCTCTTAGATAAGGTATAGTGTAGTACTGATAACAGTGAATCATCTCTTAGATAAGGTATAGTGTAGGACTGATAACAGTGAATCATCTCTTAGATAAGGTATAGTGTAGTACTGATAACAGTGAATCATCTCTTAGATAAGGTATAGTGTAGTACTGATAACAGTGAATCATCTCTTAGATAAGGTATAGTGTAGGACTGATAACAGTGAATCATCTCTTAGATAAGGTATAGTGTAGGACTGATAACAGTGAATCATCTCTTAGATAAGGTATAGTGTAGTACTGATAACAGTGAATCATCTCTTAGATAAGGTATAGTGTAGTACTGATAACAGTGAATCATCTCTTAGATAAGGTATAGTGTAGTACTGATAACAGTGAATCATCTCTTAGATAAGGTATAGTGTAGGACTGATAACAGTGAATCATCTCTTAGATAAGGTATAGTGTAGGACTGATAACAGTGAATCATTTCTTAGATAAGGTATAGTGTAGTACTGATAACAGTGAATCATCTCTTAGATAAGGTATAGTGTAGGACTGATAACAGTGAATCATCTCTTAGATAAGGTATAGTGTAGGACTGATAACAGTGAATCATCTCTTAGATAAGGTATAGTGTATTACTGATAACAGTGAATTACTGATGGGGTCCAGATGGACTAGGTTGTTTCAATTATTTGGTCCCATAACTAGTGATTACTGATAGAGTCTGGATTGGATAGTTTTGTTGTTATGTCTTAGTCCCAGACCATAAAGAATGAATGTATATAGTGACAGATTTGACCCATGGGTGTCTGATCAAAGTGAAAAATGCTTAGAATAAAAAACAAAAAAGTATTATATCTCCTTTTAGTTTAACCCTGCCACATGTTCCTGTTTCAAAACTTTGTCAGTGGTTTGTTTTCTTGACTTATATCACAAATTTTTTGTCTTTTATTGAATTTGGTATTGGTGCAATTTCTTTGTAGACTAATTTTGAGGTCCTTTTCATGAATGAGTGACACCCATTGCTCCAGGGTCAGTCAGTGTAAATTAAATCATTGAACAATTGCCTCTTACTGTGACATAATAACATTCAAATATTTGAAATGGACGAATATGAAAGTTGCCTATAGACTCCAGGCTATTTATATAGATACTTCAACATGTCTGTTGATTTCTTTTTCGTCATGTTTCTTTGCTGTCTCATTCCTCTTAGTATACCTGTTAGAACTAAATTTGGGCATAAAGGAGAAATGATAATTCATAAGAAATTAATGGACTAAGTGAACTACACTGAGATCAAAATTATGGCCATAATGTTCACCAGGATACAAAAAACAACAAATGTCTCATACAACTCAGAAAAAAGTATTATAAATCATGGGGAAAAAGATGTTTATTTTGAGCCTATAAACTATAAATACACAAATGCATATGGATAATAAAGAAGAAAAAAATCAATGCATCTTAAAGTAAGAATTAAAAAGAAGTATAATATCTGGTAATAGACCTTGTTGACATAAATGCATATCAAATCTCTCATCATTAAATACCATTTCCATGCCAGAATATCTTGATATTTTTTACACTTTGTGAGAACATGATCTTTAATGGATATGGCTTGTTAATTAATGTGTTTACATCAAAGAATCCATAACAAGTGGTTTATCCTGTTGATTTCAAGTGTTCACTGCCTAATACTCTCACACCTAGTTATTATGCTTGGGAGAGAAAGTTGCTTCTTGTTGGAATTCTGTCAATTTTTTCAAAGAGAATAATAATTCAAAATTCATTGAAGATTTTGCAACCTCAGAAGAAATTCTTTTCATCCGTACAGGAATATCAAAGTATAAGGCTTTTGTGATATTTTATTTTCCTTAGGAGCAGGTTGTTAAAATAACTACATTAATAATTTGATATATTGTAGAGCTATGAATGGGCTTTAGAAGCAATGAAATATGTGGCCAGTATGAAAATGGACCATTCGACAACTTTAGAAGGACTCGAAAAGTTATTACGTAGTCTAGAGCTTTACCTTCGTCATCATCCTGCAATGACAGAGGCAACCTTTGCCAGTATGTCGGAACTTGCCCAACAATTGCAAAATGATAAACTTCTAGAACAGTGTCGTGTTGCGAAAGCACGTTGTGTTGAAACAAACAATTTATTGAATCTCAGGCTGGGAACCTTACGTAGGGCAAAAGAAAAAATGTTACGAGAACAAAATTTGCAACCCTCAAATAGTTTTGGTTCTCCACATAGAAGCCCTGGACGGACTTATGCAAAAGATTCTAATCAGATGAGTCAGTCTTATGAACTAGGAGAAGGGGCATGGAATCCCATTCTTTCCAGTACCCCAGCTGTTCCAAACCGTGCAATCCATCCAGCTTTTAGAAAATGTGTTTCTGAAGCAGCTTTTTCACCTCGTTCAGGAAATTCTTATATTACTGAGGATTTATCTGATCATGTGGTTACTTCAATTCCAAAAGTGTTAAATGACACAACTTTAAAATCTTCTCGAGAAGATTTAACCGAAGACTCATCAGAAAGTGCTCAAAATAACAAGAACAATAATACTGAAAAACTAAATAATTCTTTATCAACAACGAACTCCACAGATTTTGTTTTTACTCCACCGTATGAGCCAGGAAATACACTTTCCTCTCATAACAGACCTGTGAAAAAAATGTTAAAACGGACTACAGTGAATTCTCTAGATACAAGTGGTGTAGTTCAAAATGGACATATAAGTTTACAAAAACGAACTAGTGCTCCATTGCCTAGTAATGTTATAATTGAAGAAGATGAATCAAAATTATCTCCGCCATTAAGAAATCCACAGATGAAGGCACTTGAATGTCGGCCTGTTAGTATGATAACTGTCAGTACAGATAGTCTTTCAAGGTAGGTGGCAAAAGTTGTATAGTATGATAACTGTCAGTACAGTTGTATAGTATTATAACTGTCAGTACAGATAGTCTTTCAAGGTAGGTGGCAAGAGTTGTATAAAGTTAACCCTATATTGGTAGAAAATTAGACAAGATATGGGGGAAATTATTGCGGTTTTTCATCATGACAGTTTGCTGGAAGGTTGTTAACAATGCAACTTAAGAGTTCACAGAACACAGCATGTTCAAGAGGCCCCTAGTTGTACTTTGTGTACAAACAAATCATACCATATTTTAAATTATTTCGTTCATCTTGCATATGAATATTGTAATAAAAAATTAAGGATAGAATATTTTGCTCTGCTGGTAAAAATTGAACAAACAGCAATAAATTTACTGTGAAATTAATTAATGTGGCTCCTGAATACAATGTTATTTGATATACCATGTAGCAAAAATTGAAATACAGTTTACAGTGTTGAAATGTTTTTAAAACTAAGAGTGAAATTAATACATTGATGAATTGGTTTTAGTATTAAATACCATAGCCAGAAAGACTGAGCTTATGGAATAAAATATTTCTTTTCTTTTTTTAGTTATATTGAGTTAATGATACAAGAATTTTAATCTGTACATAGTTGACTGAATTTTAAATATATTTCGTGTATCTTCCAATTTATCAAATAAATGTATGGAACAGCAGTCCTCTTGATTAATAAAAATCTAGTTATAGACTGGCAATAGTAAACTTGAATTTGGATGTTTTTTAGTTTTTTGGAAACTGCCACTTTAGATGTCATGATATGCGAGTTTAACAAAACTGTTAAAATCTAGCTTGTGTCTTTGAAACATGGACCTCTTAAAGTTAATTATGTGGTGATGAAAAATTATTTTAGAACTTTGGTCAGAAAGCATCTTTGTCCCTTTAAAAAAAAACAATTTTCACTTTTTCTAAATTTTTATCAAAAGTATTACAAAAAATTTACCATTTATGTCACCAACAATTTCTGATTTTACTATCAAATTGAGGTTTAAGTATTCTTCTACAAATTTAATTTAAGATAGATGAATTGTCATAATTTGATTTATTATTGATTTTATAGTTTACCTGAGGAGGAAGAAGAAAATGAAGAGAACAGTTGTACCAGTCCTCAAAAGAGAGATTGGTCCAAAGGAGTTTGTGGTAGTCCACCTACCAGAGAATGGACCCCAGTCCCTGTTAATTCACATCTGTCAGAGTTCAACAGAAATGTCCCAACTGGATCTTTAGCTGGTCTAAAACTTTCTGGGAAGGAATCTAAAAGGTAGCTAGTCATATTGTATAGACACTTGTCTATTGTGGAAGACTATGTTGACCTCTAGATAACCTCACATTCCAGTTTTTTCATACATTGTAACTTATTGTAAAAGTTATTTATACACATGGACATCAGCTGTTTCAAATGGAATTTTGTAAATGTATGTTGTTGATTGAATACTTTCGGATTATAATGGAGGCTGATGTCTCTTATTTATGATACATGTATATAATGAATTATGTGAAATGCACATTTAGTTGGAAATGCTGTTATTGTCACATTGTTTTAAACATATGCTGGCTTCTGATAGACCAAACATTTTTTTGGAAAATAATCAATTAATGTAACAGTCAACGGGAGACAACTCTTGTTGAATTATTACATTTGTACTTAGATGGGAAATTTTGATTTTTCTCTCTCGTGCTTTAGCATCAAAGTGAATAATTTAAATGAATTTGAAAGTATGTACCTAAAAAATGAGATAATTATCAGTACATGTCTACTACTGAGGATTTAAACAATTTTGAAAAAAAAAAAAAAAAAAAAAAAATACAATTTTTTTATCAACAAATGAACACATAAGGTATGGCCCTGAAAAGAACAATACTAAAATGATGGGTCAACACCTATCAAAATATCTGTTAAATAACGATAAAAATGATGCTTAATGAAATTTTGAAATTAAAGTGATTCTTATATTCAAATGGTTACAATTGATTTTTTTTCCTGAACATCTAATTTAAAATAATAATGATTAGTTCTTCATACATGTCATACAAAAAGAAATGAGGTGCATTGTCCTTCAGTATCACAGAAATATTTAGAAATGAATGTTACATACTCTGATAAACTGCTTAACGAAATAAAAAAATGATGTTTTAGCTGCATGAAATATGAGAACCTGACAATTATCTGTAAGTTTTCTATTTTATTTTCAGTATTTTGGCTCATGTTATGTGTGAGATGGTACAAACAGAGAGAGACTATGTTCAGTCATTACAATATATTATAGAAAACTATATCCCAGAATTATTACGAGAAGATGTACCTCAGGCGTTACGTGGAAAGAGAAATGTTATATTTGGAAACATTGAGAAGATCTATCAGTTTCATTATCAGTATTTCTTGAAGGAAGTTGAGATGTGTGAACAGAAACCTTTCCAGATCTCACATTATTTTCTCATGCATGTGAGTAGAAAGATGTGATGTCTACATGATAGATATTTCTGTTCTTAGAATAGAAATAAAAGAGATGTGTTATGATTGGCAATGAGACCACTATCCACCAGAAGAAAGGATGAGAATGTTCACATCTATTGGTCACTGACAGCCTTCAACAATAAGCAAAAACCATACTATATATTAAGGCATTAAATGCCTAGCATGACAAAATGTAAAATAATACAAAATAGAGAACCAACGGCCTGATTTAGGCTTGTTTTTGTTTTAGACAGTTAATCAATGAGATGACTATTCAGAAGTGCTAACAACTCCATGTTACATAAATGTTACAAAAGAAATAAAATAAAAAAAAACAGAAATATTTTACAAAATGAAAGTTACAGTGTAGCAATTTCAAGTTTAATGGCAAAGTTGGAATGTTGCATACATTTTACAGGTGTTTCTATAATTTTGTATTTCTATAGATATAATGGAACTTAGTATAAAATCACCTTGCATGTTATTGAAATATGACAAAGCATACATGCTAAGATTTTTTAAAATAAAGGAGTTTAGGTGTCAAGGAATATCAGAAGATTGGAATATTTAAAATACTCTACAAGATAACATTGCAAGAAAATCAAAAATATAAAGCTGTGGTTTTTTTTTCAGGAGAGTTTTTTCTACCTGTATGCTTTATATAACAAGAATAAACCAAAGTCTGATGCTTTGATGGCAGAATATGGTAAACATTTCTTTAAGGTAAATTACTTTATATATGTATAAGAATATATGGATAAAATGAGATGTAGGATAAACATCAATAAGACAGCAACCCAACAACATTAAAAAATGTAAAAGACATCTAGAGATCAACAGTACCCAATACACAATCTTCAAGTGTCTAAACGATACATTACGCTCTAAATAAACACCAGTCTAAGAAATGTAGTGAATAAAACAAACATGTGCTTGATACAGTGAGAAATAATGCAGAAGTTAGGTTTTGAACAACTGGTTTGACCACATTCACAAATTGATTGAGGAATATATTATTGTATTCCTCTAAAATCACACAGGATGAGCTGATGTACTGTATTTCTTATGCTTTGCCCAATGACAGTTTTGCCATTTGATGCTTTAAAACAGACCATGATATTTGTTCACATTTGCAAATATGAATTATATTTCTTTAAGACACATGCTGCATATGTATATAATGTTTTGTATTTATAGAAAACAAAGGATGTTGGGTATCCATCCATGACACAAAATCAGTACATGCACATCAGCATTCAACAATTTTCTCTAATTTCTGATGAAAAGAGAAACTATATATATTTGGAAGATGCACCTGTGATATGGCTATGTCTTTGGGTAAAAGAAAAAAAAGAAGAGAGTAATTAATATGAATATGTAAACTCGGCGCCAAACTACACGGAGCAATTTACATGGTAATTTTATTATTTTGTTTGTTGTTTTTTTCAGCAAAAACAAGAAGAGCTGGGTGATAGAATGGATTTATCTAGTTACTTACTGAAACCTGTACAAAGAATGGGAAAATATGCCTTAATGTTAAAACAGATAATGAAGGAATGTCCTCAGTCTGATGCAGCTTATCAAGACTTAAAGGTTTGGAAACAATTACATAACTAACGTGTCATTGTCAGATAATGGAGGAATGTCCTCAGTCTGGCAGGGCTAATCATGACAATTATATAATGTGTCATAGTCAGTTTGTTAATCAGAAAATAAGTATTTAAGATATGTAGAATTCTGACAAGAATAAATAGTTTGGTGTTGGAGCTTCATAACTCTTGGAACTGAAATCTACATGCAAAATATCAGCGATCAGTCCCTGACATGCCTAACCAATTATTGGGTATCCTGATTTTTGTGTGTCACTTGAAAGTAGGAGCTAGGCATCTCTATACAATATAGTTATTCTCAAGTAGTCCGTACATTCATGACATTATATCTAGAAAAACAGTTAAAGATACCAATGATTTATTTCTGCAATATGAGTATGCATGCAAGGCCCTATATAATTGAGGACAGTCTCATTATTATTTTTTAATCAATAATAGTTGGTATGGTGTAAAGTCATTGAGACAGCAACCCAACAACACAATAAAACAATAAAGGCAACAAAAAGTATGCATGGTATGTCTTAGTTCTAAAGTCATCAATGATTTGTATAGATGTATTAGAAAGCACTTATATATTTAATATTTGGATGAACAATATGTGGTATCCAATCAAGATTTTATGCATGATTTTTGGAAATAAATATCACCCCTTTCCATATATTTGTTTCTGAAACAACAATAGTTTGTTTATTTGTAATTACAGGCAGCTGAACAAATGGTAAAATTCCAATTAAGACATGGTAATGACTTGTTGGCCATGGATGCTTTGAAGGATTGTGATGTAAATCTCCAGGAGCAGGGGAGTTTACTCCGACAAGATGAATTCCTTGTATGGCAGGGAAGGAAGAAATCGTTACGACACGTCTTCTTGTTTGAGGATATGATATTATTCAGTAAAACCAAAAGAAACAGACATGGGGGACCAGAATATTATGTTTATAAAAATAGCTTTAAAGTAAGTTTGATGTTAAATTAAAGATATTTTTTGTTTCCAGCTGAGGATATGTAAGAATGTTTTGGTTTTTTGTTCATTGTGGTTATCTTCGGAGTAAAATTATCATATATTAGTATTTACATAGCATTTTCAAATAAATGTATGTACTAACTCTACGTTCAATTTTAATTCATTTTGACACATCTAAAAATCTCAATTTTATTGTGACAAACACATCTTTTTTTAACCTAAAGGTTTCCCAAAATCTCTGACGTAAATGAAATATTTTTGTAGTTGAATCATGCTTTTTTAAAAATGTTTTATTAATAACTATGCATTAGTTTACCGTTTTTTGTCAAAATTTATTTATTATCAGACATAACACAGAAAACTAAAGAAAACTGCATTTTGATGTGAATTCTAATGATATAGGAGAGACAACTCAATGTGTAAAATAAAATCTTTTTGTAAAACATTGAATGACGCATATTTAACGCCTTCTTTCATTTTAGATGGCTGATATAGGGCTGACAGAGAACTATGGAGAATCAGGGTATAAGTTTGAGATTTGGTTCAGGAGGAGAAATTCTGGGGATAACTATATCTTTCAGGCCCCTAACTCAGATGTAAAACATCACTGGATCAGAGGGATTTCAAAAATCTTGTGGAATCAAGCTTTGAAAAATAGGGGTGAGTATAATTCGAAGAGAAGAATGTGTAATGATGTTATTTTATACTTAACATTTAAAAAATAAAATTGAGAATGGAAATAGGGAATATGTCAAAGAGACAACAACCCGACCAAAGAGCAGAAAACAGCTGAAGGCCACCAATTGGTCCAACACAGCGAGAAAATCCCGCACTCAGAGGCCTGCTTCAGCTGGCCCCTAAATAAAAATAAGTACTAGTTCATTGAAAATGGACATCATACTAAACTCCAAAACATATAAATGAACTAAAATTAAAAAACATACAAGACTAAAAAAATCTATTTAAAGGAGATTTTAACACTAATTCATTAAACTTTTAAAATTTTATTTTTCACATTTAGTGTATTTTCAATTTTTATGCAAGAATTTGAGGACTTTGCTATGGACAGCAGATAGCTGCATATCTCAAGGTCCAGTTGTAGAATCTCAATTCCCCTTTTCTACTTATTCATAAGGTTAATGTTTTAACAGGTGTCAGATAAAAGTTTTGTTCGTTTGAGTTTTTTTTTATTTATAAGAATTGGTTTGTTTTCAATGTCACCAGAAATCAAAATGTTTTTCTATGTTTTATATAACATGGAAATCAAAAGATCTGCTATAAAATCTTACTTGCTAGTTGACATTTCTGAACAAGTGAAAACAGACTGGCATATCATGTGTGTTGTGAAAACAGACTGACATATCATGTGTGTTGTGAAAACAGACTGACATATCATGTGTGTTGTGAAAACAGACTGGCATAGTGTTGTGAAAACAGACTGGCATATCATGTGTGTTGTGAAAACAGACTGGCATATCATGTGTGTTGTGAAAACAGACTGGCATATCATGTGTGTTGTGAAAACAGACTGGCATATCATGTATGTTGTGAAAACAGACTGGCATATCATGTATGTTGTGAAAACAGACTGGCATATCATGTATGTTGTGAAAACAGACTGGCATATCATGTATGTTGTGAAAACAGACTGGCATATCATGTATGTTGTGAAAACAGACTGGCATATCATGTATGTTGTGAAAACAGACTGACATATCATGTGTGTTGTGAAAACAGACTGGCATATCATGTGTGTTGTGAATAAACTGTTTAAGAATATATAAGCAAAAAATCTAATATTTTATCTTAGTGCATGAGAACTAAAATACTATTTAATTACTTGATATATAAAAGTAAGAAGATATTGTATGATTTCCAATGAGACAACGATGCACCAGTGTCCAAATGATGTGGATGTTAAGCAGCTATAGTTCTCTGTACGGCCTTCAACAATGAGCAAAACCCATTGTAAAGTCAGCTTTAAAAGGCTATAACTATCTTAAGAAAACATAAAACAAATCACGAGGAAACAGTGAATAATATAATTAATACGAATAAAAAATTACAGATCGTCATATGACAGAGATGGCTACCATGGGAATAGGAAACAAACCATGTTTAGATATCAAACCAAGTGCTAATAATATACAGGATAGATTTGTTAACTATGCTTTAGGAGGCAGGGGAGGTAAGTTCTTACATAAAGGATTACCATGTGTTTGGTAGACAAATAGTACTAAAACAAGACAAAGGTTTCTTTCAAAATTGAATTCCAATCTAGTCCTTTTAAAAAAAAAAAAAAGAGAAGAAATTTGGTAAAGCATGAATAGAAGATCAAAATTGTACTACAGTACTACAGTATTTTCATTAGGATTAATTTCCATAAAGAAATGATGATGAAAAAAAGAAACAAAATCCTTCTGCAGCTGAATGTTGGTAATCCAGTAAATTGTATGTCTTGTGGCAATTAGCTTCTTTTTTATGTCCACGCAGAGTGGCATTAAGTTTTACCCTTGTCCGTCTGTACGTCCGTACATCCTTATGTCCCGAAATTGGTTTCCGTTCTCTAACTTTAGTTTGCCTCAACCAAATGTTATGAAACTTATACACAATGCTTATTACCACATAACTCAGATCAAGTATGAATTTTGGTTAGCATCACTTTGACTGTTCTTGAGTTATGCCCCTTTATAACGTTATATGCAAGCGGGGGCATCATCTGTGTCCCATGGACACATTCCCCATTTATTTTTAAATAAGAAATTAGAAACAAATGTGAGACAAGGTTCATACTTCTGCGATTAATTTTCTATAGATAAATGTTGAATATAATGAAGCAAAGGAATGAATGTTTTTACAAACATTAGGAAATGAAAATGTAATATATTTTTTAATTTGTTATCTCTTTCTATAAAAAATTTCCATTTTCAGCAAGGACCAGGAACTCCATAGCAGTGTCATCTTTTGATCATTCACGACTCAACAACAAGCGACCTCATTCTATCATCTCCATTGGAAGTACATCGTCGTCCAACAGTAGTCATTCTGGTCTATTTATAAATCCTGGTGCTGGCGGAGATCCCTTTGATAGTCCACGACACACAACTAACACATGTTTATCTAATGGTAAGTACTTGTTAATAAATTCTCTTGAATCTTATATAGCTATTGCTTTTGATAGTTTGCATTTTTCTATTAACAGTTGTCAATCAAACCAATTGTTTATTAAAGATAAATGTAATTACTTGTTGAAGAAAACAAAACTTTGGTTTGATTCCTATTGTTCTTGATAACCTTATCTTGACAGACTTGTTTCAGAAATAAACAAGGAAAATATATTATATAAATAGTACTTTTAAATAAGAAACCTCTAACCAAGCAGTGACTCGACAATGATCCCCCATCAGATATTGAAATTGCTAATTAAAATGTTTTTCTTTTCTTTTCAGAGAGTGGTATAGGTACTGATGTATCCAGTAGTTACATAGATCAACCTTCAGAAAGTTTCCATAAAGACATGTCACCAACACACCAATATCAATCACATAATGGTCCACCACCATATCACATGACATCCCAGGAAATTCCACCTCTAGCTTATAGTAGTACTGATGTAAGTAATGGTCCACCACAATATCACATGACATCCCAGGAAATTCCACCTCTAGCTTATAGTAGTACTGATGTAAGTAATGGTCCACCACAATATCACATGACATCCCAGGAAATTCCACCTCTAGCTTATAGTAGTACTGATGTAAGTAATGGTCCACCACAATATCACATGACATCCCAGGAAATTCCACCTCTAGCTTATAGAAGTACTGATGTAAGTAATGGTCCACCACAATATCACATGACATCTCAGGAAATTCCACCTCTAGCTTATAGAAGTACTGATGTAAGTAATGGTCCACCACAATATCACATGACATCCCAGGAAATTCCACCTCTAGCTTATAGAAGTACTGATGTAAGTAATGGTCCACCACAATATCACATGACATCTCAGGAAATTCCACCTCTAGCTTATAGAAGTACTGATGTAAGTAATGGTCCACCACAATATCACATGACATCCCAGGAAATTCCACCTCTAGCCTATAGCACATGACATCCCAGGAAATTCCACCTCTAGCTTATAGTAGTACTGATGTAAGTAATGGTCCACCACAATATCACATGACATCCCAGGAAATTCCACCTCTAGCCTATTGCACATGACATCCCAGGATATTCCACCTCTAGCTTATAGTAGTACTGATGTAAGTTTGATAATTATTTGCTGAATAACTGTTATATATAATATCTTAACTGATATTTTGTTTCTTTAAATAAAAAAAATCTCTCTTTTGCATATGCAAGATTTAAAAGAACAAGTATTTGGATGGCATCCTTGCAAAGCAGAGAAAATTAACATAATCCTTTCTTATTCTCTGAAGGTTTCCTACTCAAGTGTTTACAGAAATATCTTTATCCTGATCAATCATTTTAACTTTTGAAAAATCCTGATAAATAAAAAAATATGATATCGCATATTAAAAATTAAAAGTTAAGTATTGAACTGAAAAAATTCAAAATATGAAATGTTCATTCTATTCTGTAACTTGCCTACTGATACCAAATTCAAAAACACTAGAGCTGTCTTCACTTTCAAACTTTTTCTGAACACTAAATGAAAACTAAGGCAATTTTTTTGTTTGTAAATTGTAAAAAGAGAAAAAAAATCTTGGAGCATTTTGACATGCTAATGATCGCTACAGACTGTCTTCAGTTTGTCTTTACATTTTACAAGCAATTTGTAGGTCGATTTTTTTTTTAATGTAAGATTGAAACTAGAGAGCTCCTCAATATAGCTTATGTATTGTCAAGGAATATTTTTATCTTTTAGTATGTTGCATATTAATCAAAATAACTTTTAGAAGTTAATAATTAATTATATGAAAACCTTTGTTTATTTTAACAAAATGAAATCTTTCATTTCAGGTATAAATACAAAATGTATGATAAAGATGTAATGTAGTGCACCATTAGGACAGATGACTCATCTCATTGGCTTACTCTTCTGTTTTCGTCCACTTCATCACATCAATGTTATTTCGTTAGAAGAGTGCAATGCAAACATATGCTGAGAAACATTGCTTTAAACATTTCATCAACCATTGATCAGACAACAGAACTTTTAAGACTGCTTTTAATAGCAACCATCATAAAACTCTTATTGTGGATATCAGTTTTAAGTAAAGGAATCTTAATGGAAAGAATTGGTGCAACTATATTAAACAATGTACAAATGTTCATGTACAAATCATAGAATGTGTCTTAGTAAAAATCCATATTGTTAAACAATAGAACACGAGGCTTAGATAGTGCTTATTTACAGATATTCATGATGACTCCATATACATGATGATATACATATAAAGTATTGATGTAAGCATTTGAACATTATTATTGGTGCTAAAATACATTGTGTCATTCATACTGGTGTACATACTACAAAGTGTATTGTATAATTTTTACTACATGTACATTATTAATCATTGTGTATTATTCATGCTTGCTGGTACATTTTGCTTCTTCCACAATATAATTGTTCAATATAAAGTTCAACAATAATTTAGATATGAACCAAAGTTATTTTTTCCTTCTTTTTGTGTGTCTTTTTGTCAAGTCAAATGTATTTGATTATATGAAAAGTTCTTCAATCCTTAATAACAAGCATATTTATCCTCAGATGTTTAGGAGAAGTAACTTATACTGTCGATACCTATATTATGCCTAAAACAAGTTTAACAATTCTGTTTCATAAATATTTGAATATGAGGTTAACATTGCTTATTGCCAAATGAAAACAGATATGTATATTTTTGGAATAAAAATAATTCAAAATCAATGTATATTGATTGAAAATACAACTATGTATAAAAAAAAATAATACTGTCAACAAGTTGATAACAGGGAACATATTGTATTTTTACAAAAACAATGTTACCATTGCAATGCTTTTGCTATTCTTTCTATTTGTTCTTACAGCTCCCCAATTATTTACAAATCATTTGGTCTAATTAACTGACTCTTGAGTATTCTAGGTGAATGAACTTCTGACCTTTCAGTCATAAAACTTTAAACAGTACTCTGGGTACAAAATGTGTGCTCAAAACACCAAATCCAATATTTTGATTGGTTAATCTGTGTACGATAAGTGTACTAAAAAATATTTATTACTGCGAGGTCAGAAAAACACATGTGACTAGTTTGATTGATTGCATACATTGATGGATTAATACTTATTAGATAATGTTATAGTAGATGGAAAAACAAACATGTGCCATACAATATAAAATAGGTTTTATCTGTAATAGTTGTGTCAATATAAGAAGATAAATGATAACTTGTACACAACATATATATCTGTTATTAACTGCTGCTGTATAAAGTGTTGTTGGTTTAAGTCAGTAAACATGAAATTATTTAGACAGTATTACAGAATGTCTTCCAGGGGAGTAAATTATGACATAGATTGGAGATTAGTATTGTTTTATATCCATTAGCTGTTATATTTCTAATAAAAGGAAACCAGAAGTCTGTACTTAATCAGATAATTTAATATATCTGCTATTTAATTTTTTTGAACAATAAGTATATAATCTGAGACCATCCAGAATACTGATTTTTCAAACTGGATGATTGTATTTTTAGATCTTGACTTATTGGATTGTAGTTTTGGATCCTGAATTCTAGACTCTGGAATTATAAAAATGTATTTTTTGGTTTGCTTTAAAAAGACGTGTTATGCCAGAAGTTGTGCATGGATAACATTAAATTTTTACAGACTATACATACACAACTCCCAAGTATCCTTAATTATTGCTTATTTTCTATGAATTACACTCCAGTGCAAATAATGGTTCTGCTTAGATTATTTATATTGAACAAAGTGGTACATGTATAGTATTGCTTTCAGACTCATGTTTATTTCATGTGTACAGATTTTTATATAGTAAGTTAACATGTAAATGAATGATATTTAAGTTCTCACAAGTTTATGTGTACACCTAAATTTACCTCATAAAAACTGATAAAGAAATTTGTTTAGTGTTATTTATTTTATTGCCTATATAATTAGTTTGTTAATTGTTTCTTTTGGTCAAATGCTGGTCTCAATAGTAGTTGGAAGGTTTTCAGTGGTACATTGTGACGAATTAGTTCACAACAAGATAAAGATGTTTTGAACCGTTTTTTTTATTTTGAATTGAAAAAATTTACCGGATTGAAAATCCAGTTATAAAATAAGGTATGATTTCCAATGAGACAACTATCCATCATAGTCAGAATGACATGGCTGTAATAAACTATAGGTCATTGTACAGCCTTTAACAATGAGCAAAACCAATACCATATAGTCAGCTAAAAAAGGTTTGATATGAGAAAATGTGAAACAATTTAAATGAGAAAACTGTCAGACTGAATTATGACAAAATAATAAACAATTAACAATTATGACAGACAGCAACAAACAGCAAACATTGCAGGCTCCTGATAGCAGTCTCTCTTCCTGTCCTAATCTGTATTTATCTTAAATTAGCTATGTTCATGACCCATTCCTTAGCAGAGTAGAGTGTAAAGTAAATCACAACAAACCAGGTTCATCAGTGTGTTATATTTTAGTTTTCTTAAAACTTTGTATTCAACTAGAGCATATAGAAAAACATCTAAAGAAGATGGTTTTATGACATTTAAAACTAACAAGAAAACTTAAAAGAATTACATCTAACAAATAACTGGAGAGTTTTTGATATTTGATTGCTTCTAAAATTTCTGTTTTTGTCTCGCCTGCCATAAAAGTGGTGGAGAGCGAGACAGGGATTGCTTTACCAGCAATGAAGACGATGACGATGTTGGCATCAACAATGGTTAAGTTTTCTGCTTAAGTTAGTTTGATAGGAACTACTTTGTGATAGATCATTGATATTTAATAGAAAGTTGCATTACTATCTGTATCAGTACATTTGAGTATTTTGAAGCCTTGTCCCTAGGTCATGATCCAGTCACTTTTAATTAATAAGCAATTTTCAATATTCAGTTTTCTGCTCAAGTCAGTTTTTGTCGAGCCTGCGACTTTTGTCGGAGAAAGCTCGACTTAGGGATAGTGATCCGGCGGCGGCATTAGCTAACTTCTTAAAAGCTTTATATTTTAGAAGGTAGAAGACCTGGATGCTTCATACTTTGTATATGGATGCCTCATGTTACGAAGTTTCCGTCAGTCACATGTCCAATGTCCTTGACCTCATTTTCATGGTTCAGTGACTACTTGAAAAAAAAGTTAACATTTTTTGTAATGTTAAATTCTCTCTTATTATAAGTAGTAGGATAACTATATTTGGTATGTGTGTACCTTGCAAGGTCCTCATGCCTGTCAGACAGTTTTCACTTGACCTCGACCTCATTTCATGGATCAGTGAACAAGGTTAAGTTTTGGTGGTCAAGTCCATATCTCAGATACTATAAGCAATAGGTCTAGTATATTCGGTGTATGGAAGGTCTGTAAGGTGTACATGTCCAACTGGCAGGTGTCATCTGACCTTGACCTCATTTTCATGGTTCAGTGGTTATAGTTAAGTTTTTGTGTTTTGGTCTGTTTTTCTTATACTGTATGCAATAGGTCTACTATATTTGGTGTATGGAATGATTGTAAGGTGTAAATGTCTAGCTGGCAGGTGTCATCTGACCTTGACCTCATTTTCATGGTTCAGTGGTCAAAGTTAAGTTTTTGAGTTTTGGTCTTTTTTTCTTATACTATATGCAATAGGTCAACTATATTTGGTGTATGGAAATATTTTATGATCTATATGTCAGTCGCGCAGGTTTTATATGACCTTGACCTCATTTTCACCGTTCATTGCTCAGTGTTAAGTTTTTGTGTTTTGGTCTGTTTTTCTTAAACTATAAGCAATAGGTCAACTATATTTGTTATATGGAAGAATTGTTAACTGTACATGTCTGCCTGGCATGGTTCATCTGACCTTGACCTCATTTTCATGGTTCATTGGTCAATGTTTAGTTTTCTTGGTTAATGTTAAGTTTATGTGACAGTTGTAATAAAGCTTTATATTTAGGACTATCAACATAATATCAATGATTAGTAAAGAAGGCGAGACATTTCAGCGTGTGCACTCTTGTATGATATTTTATATAAAGTTGCTTTACTATCAGTACATATCAGTTTGACGACGTTTTTAAGGCCCTGCCCCCTAGGTCATGGTCCAACTACTTTGAATTAATAAGGAATGTTGCTGTCCATCAGATTGCTATTTTCAATTTTATGCTGACAGGTGAGACATATCTCTGTGTCAACAGTTTTTTGCAATTTTGCATTTTTTTCTCATACTAATAAAAATTCATTATAATTGAGTGGATAACTCTCCAGTGACGGATCCAAAGGGGGGGCGTAGAGGGCGTACGCCCCCCCCCCCCCCTTTGCTTGCACTTTTTTTTTGTTTTTTTTTTTGGTAAAATGATTAATCAGACTTGACTTCGTGAACTTTGCCATTTCCCGTGTATTTAATTTTTATGCGACTTATAAAAATATTTTTCTCTCGTATTTACTGTAATATATTATTGATTATGTCAAATTCATGTGATTCGCTACGGTGGAGTTGACCAGTGCGTCGAAAAAACGTCAGTCATTTTGAAATTCAAATTACAGTAACACATTGCTTAGGCCGAGGATGACAAGTATGACACCTTCAAAGCGAGTAAGGATCGAGCAAGAACGTATTGACTTCTATTTCACAATTCCACCAAACAGAAAGTAATACTCTATTACACTCTCATGAAAAAAGCCGTTCCACAGCAATATTATTTACCTACGAAAACAAACATGTTTAACCACACACGCCCCAGCCCATTAATAACATTGCTGAATAATAATCCCCTGTCAGTAAGCTCTAGATAGATTTAAAATCTAAGGTACGGACCATTTGATTTGAGGGTGCAGTCTGAGATATTTTAGAGAAAAAATTCTGACCCTGATTTTTCAAGTGCCTTAAACAAAAATTCTGGCCGTATCTGGATTGAAAACAATACCGGTAATCTTGTCCACTTTTTTGCTATTAGAAACAAAAAAAAATTTTCAACAGAATTACTGAGCATTAAATGAACATGATGAATGAAAAACGGGCGTATTTTTTGGGGGGCCGGGGGTTTGCATGTTGTAAATCCCATATCTGACCGGAATGTCTGTTTCGCCGAACTGATATTCTGAATACTTTTTTCAAGGCCCGACTTCAACCTGCCTTCTCGGTGTGGCCTTTATGTCTCCATTTGTCGACCGTCATTCACAACTTCGTTGTCATTTCAGACTCATTCGTAGCCTTTGGTTGATTTGGAATCCCTCACTTCCCTTGTTGGGTAAAACATTTCAACCAAATATTTGGATAAAAAATACTAGTTTGTCTTTGTTCGTGTCTGTCGTTTTGTAAATTTCATTGAATGGCCGTATATCTTGTTTTCAACAAGAAATGTGTGAGGTTATGCTAACTAACCTTACAACAAACGAGAATTTTCCATGTCCATTTTTTACTGACAAATCCCACATTAAATATATTAGTACATAGCTTTGGATCCATCCAATCATTTTATAATAGACAATTAATGGGGAGAATACGGCATCAAAAATGTCCAACCCTTACACTTTAACTATAAAATATACATGCCCCACGTCAGGAACCGTTAAAAAAGTGCATTTTACACTTATTTTATGTTTTTTAGCCAAAAATAGGTCCAAAATATTTTTCGCCTCGCTCCGCTCGGCAAACTTTACATACTCCGCCCCCCCTTTCCAAAATCCCGGATCCGCCCCTGCTCTCAATAACTTTATCCCAATAAGCTCCTTTCATTCTTATCAAATCATAAATTTGGTAACCTTTAAATTTAATATCAATAAAATGAAATTTCAGTTGTGTTCAAAAATTATTGTTTGACAAAATTGTTTGAGAGTTTTATTGGTAATATGGACATGCATTCAATATAATTGTTTGATGTATACAAATATATAAAGTAACATGTCATAGGTTCAGGATTGAAAGTTCAACAAGCTCTTCTTGCATTCAGAAATTTAAAAGAAAAAAGAGGGAAACGTGTGTTTCATATTTGCTAGTTGTGAATTTTTTTCAAAGACAACAGCACCTTGCCACGTCCTTTAGTTTGACGTTCAGATATGTTTATGATATTCCTGTGACTCAATTAGCAACATTTGAGCACAGTGAGTGCTTGAATCTCATATGTCTCTGTAAACTTTACAATAAGGATGCTACCGAAGCTAGAATGACTTCTTAAAATGTCTGGATATTTTCTTAGTAGTCCTTTCGTATGTGTTTGGCATATCTCAACGCATCCGTAACGCGGGTGCGTGTGCATTATACGGATTTCATTAACAGGGGTATGGTCCATTCAAGTTCACAAAAACTCATCCTGAGCAGGGTTATAAGGTAAAACGACTGAAATTGATACTACACAAGTTTTATGATCACCATCACTTTGTTACAAGATACTATGTGTTTCAATTCAGGAGAAACATATTTACACTGTCTTAACATCAGAATGGGCGTTTGATCCCTAAATTTTTAGAAAGAATTCTATTCCCTACAGTGCCATTTTAGCACCATAGCATGAGACGGTTTCCATGCCAATGTACTCGATCTCGCTCCATTTGGAATTCATGTAATTCCCTCATTCTAATTAATTTAATGAGTTTTGAACATCGGTATTCTACTGCTCTTATTAGACATGTTAGATAAATGTTCGCAATTGTCAGTTGAGAGTCGCGAGTCTAGAGTTGAGTCCTAGGCATTTAATAAAGGATCATCTCAAACGTATTATTTCCATCATTGATTTAACAGGTACATAGCTTTTATAAAAGGCATTACGTTGAAATGTAACAATAATAAAAAAGTTATTGTTACATCGGACATTAATTGCCGGAATACTAGGTTGGGTTAGGAACCGATTAATTACGAACGTAACACTAATAATTTTATTTGTCTATACGGTTACGTTGTGTTATTGCTACGTTAATGTACTTCAATGGATG